ACATATTTTCGGGAGTCTCTAGAATAGATACTATGCGATAGAAAATTTGTAATTTGCATAATTTGTAAAATCAACAAGAAAAGACAAAAAATCGACAGAAATGCAAAAGCAATAAGTATTCGTACAGTTTATATTTTGAACATTCTACAAGAAAATTTAGAACGTAAACACATTACACTGTTGTTTCATAACTATGGTTAACTATACGTCAGTATATTTGGATACCTCATCGGCATCAGACGTGTTCAAAATTTTACAGTGTTCAAAATTATCGTTGATGATGAAATTAACTTACATAATCAGTGTAAAAGTTTATCAGAAATATCGCGTACTATAAGCAGACCTCGATCTACTATGTAAAGTATAATTAATAGATATGGAAAAAGAAACAGGCTTGCAAAATAACTCGAGAAGTGGACGTCTACGGAAACTTAATCAGTGTACTGGACGTGTAAATATTAGAGTGATAAGGCAAGAAATTAAATTAAAAATAATTTAGACATTGATTTATCTGTTAGTACCATGCGTAATTTTTTACGAAGCCAAGAGTATCGCGGTAGAGTGGCCCGTAAGAAATATTTTGTATCTGAAGCGAATAGAAAGAAGATATTGCAGTTCGCAAATAATAATATCAATAAATCAATGGAATACTGGAATAAACTGATTTTCACAGACGAAAGTAAATTTAATATTTTGGGGTCTGATGGACACTGTACTATTTGGAGAAAAAAGAATGAGGAATTGAAACCGAAAAACTTACGGCCTACAGTGAAACACGGTGGAGGTTCCATAATCGTTTGGGGCTGTATGAATGCAGCTGGCGTCGGCACATTACAATTTATCCATGGAATAATAAACCACCGAGTTTACATTGACATTTTAAAATAAAATCTTTCTTCCAGTGCAGAAAAAATGGGCATTAAAGATGATTTCATTTTCATGCAAGATAACGATCCAAAACATACTGCATATACACCAAAATGTGGATACTACACAATATAGCAGCGTATTTACTAATTCCCTCACAATTTCCAGATATTAACCCAATAGAATACCTGTGGGATTACTTGGAACGTCAGATTAGAAAACATCAAATTTTCTCGAAAGAAAGTTTAAAAAATGCTCTCCAGCAGGAATAGAGCAAGATCTTGCCACACGCATAACATCAAATTTAGTTAATTCAATGCCTAAAAGAAATGCAGCAATAATTCAATCAGAAGAAAACCCTACAAAGTAATAATTAACTGTTTACGTTAATTTTTTTATTGTTAAATTCATCTAAATTATGTTTTTTCTTCTAAATTTATAAAAATTTAACAACTGTACGAATAATACTTATATTGCTTCTGTATTTCTCTCGATTTTTTGTTTTTTCTTGTTGATTTCGCAAATTATGCAAGTTACAAATTTTCCTTTGCATAGTATCTATTTTAGAGATTTCCGAAAATATGTACAAACTCATTGTTTATATAAAAAATTGTTAATAAACTATCATTTCACGAAGTTTTGTTTGAGATTGATCGGTGTACGAATACTTCCTACACCCACTGTATATTGTGTGGCGAAGCGTTCTGAGCACTGCTTTAAGATATAATATTTAACGTAATCAATTGATTACGAGTTTTATTTGCACGCGATCCATCTTTGCACGCTCTAGTGACCGGCACCGAGTTATGGATGATCAAACAACTATCTTGTCCCTTTCTTCGGGCATTGGAAAATACGAATTCGTTAACAGTACAGCGGTTTTCCGTAGGATCCACGATTTTCGTACCGTTAATTAGCGCTACGTCATTTAAGCAATTCACTGGTAGTAACTGTAGACTGCTGCGCAATGGAAATTGCGGTTTACCGCGGTATGAAACGCTGCGTGTCGACCTAATTTCAATCCGTTGACGGAGCCGACAACGTCGAAATTTTCCGTTTTCTGCGCTCCGTCTGTTCTCGTAACGAGATTAACTTCTTTTAGCTCGCTTTAGTTGTTTTTTCTACCGATGCGTGCTCTAAGCACGGTTAACTCGTACATTTTTCGATCTGCGGAAATAATATGCAGATCTGTTAGAGAGTAGTTCACGAAAGTATCCGAACATCTTTTAAAACGAAATAACGTGTCTAAGTCTGAGTTTAAGAATAACATTTATTTTAGACAATGTTTAAGAAAAAAGATATTGCATTTAGTTGGATTGACAAAAGAAAACATAAGAACTCACATTTTTTAACTTCTTCATCTGAGTCTTGAACCGAAATTTAAACAATGCGTTTCATATATCCCGGAAACTATCGAGTACCGAAAAAAATTCCAGCAAATTTTGAAATACGAACATCAAGACATCCAAGGTTTTATTAGCCATCACTTTCAATAGCTCGTTTAACCATGACTTATAGTCCTATACACGCCATTGGCATGAACGTTGACGACTTGCACTAAATAAACTAACTGCTGCATTTGGCTTGGTTCGTTTTTGGAGCGTTTCGTAAGAACGCAAGAACGCGTTTCGCAGTCGCAAGATGGCTATAAGGAGGATGTGGTGTAATTTTTCATTCGACAGTGTCTATCTTCTGGAGAGCCTAAGAAGTAGCACATGGTCCCGAGCGAAAACTAGCAATAACAAGAAATAATCTAATAACAAGATTTTATAAAACCTGATCGAATCGTTTCCTCGTTGTGAATTCATCACTTCAGCAATATTCGTTTGAATTAAAGATCTAGGATCTTCAAAGATATTTCATCAACACACCAGTGTCTTCTTGCCGTGCTTCCAGACTGAACTCCGCTGCTGCTTGTAGTTCATAAAGTTTTAATCTTGCACAATAAAGCGTAAAAAGAGAGATATTTTTTTCTGATAAATTCAGTGAGTTGGAAGTAACACAACAGTATTTTGAAATTCCGTAAATGCTTTCATTGTTTCGCATTTGATCTACTATTTTGGTTGTAAGTGCATAAAATAATATAGTTTGTTTATCATCAGCTGTGCAATTGCGAGACAGAAAATAAAACACTATATTTAAACATCTATATCTGTTTTGCCATCAAATTTCTAAAAATAGTGAGAAAGAAGTGTGATTAAGCTTTGACAACGTAAACACTTTCTTGGATTTCGCATATTTTCGAATGCTGCAAATGTCAGTGGGGAACTCGACGATTTCTGTAATTTACGACGGTTTGTTTAAAACGGTAAATCCGAGCTTCGATAAACAATAAATTATTTCAGCAGTTGCTCCAACGTTGCCCCAACAATTCGAATGTGCGCGAATGTATGTAAGTACGTATAAGTTTGAACAAAGTTAGCGTTAAGTATTTATATATACAGCAGTTACTGCGTCGCTTAGAATAGAAACCAGAAAATAACAAGGTGAACCAACCGAGAGTGGTATGCGGTATCCTGCAGCTACGAGTTATCTCTGTTTTGAACATTTTTTCGTACTATTGACCTGAATATTTTCTCAAATGTCGCAGCGAGTCGATAAAACTATTGATTCATTACTGATAACAGATAAGCAACTATGTTGTGTATGCAAAACATGTGGTGACTTATTGCGCTAGAATAAAAGTGGTAACATATTCAACAATCCTTTACAGGACTCTTTCTAATATTGACGGCAACGGATACAATATACACACTTGAGTAACATGACTCAACCGATTTTACATGATATCATTTTATGAGGTTAAACGATTTTTTGTCTTCCTTGTCCATAAATCATTTATTGCATGCCTATCACCAAACACGTTTCACGTAATGCGTTCGCTAGTATCACGATATTTTATTATAATTGGACTGTGGATTTTTATGCAAACTGAAAATTGCATTGATTATAAGATCCAAGAGCTACGTACATCTTATTAATGAAGTTTTCATTATTTTACATAAATACATTTCAATATAAATATAAATATATGTACCGAGAAAATTTGTAATGCATTGTGTTTATTGTGATCTTCATCATAGTGAATAACGAAAGAAGATTCAATTTTCCAAATACAATTGGGAGTTCTGAAACATTTTTGTAGCTTCTGTAAAATTTAATATTCTTAACGCTTGAATTTTAAACATTCTTATGCAATTCTCAAACTGCAAACGTGGATTATTCATTTCTGATGCATTTTTCGGCAGATAATAATTTTTAAAAAGTCTTAAAAATTCATATAATACGTTGAAACAAATGTCTGTCCTTGTATTCAGATGTTCCTCTACCAGATAACCTTATTTTAGCGAGGCAAACCTACCTACCGATTACTATAATAGCTCGTGACAAATCTAGACTGGACGGACTAGTTCAGACATTAAAAAATATACTTTCACACGTTAAGTGTCATGTTCCTGACGCATGTATAACATTAACAAATTATTTACAATTTTCTTAAGCATTGCTCGTTACAGATTTATAAACCAACATAAGTACGTGTAACATTACTATATTTGATAAATAAACCACCTGGTTTGAAGCATTAATGAATAAATAAATTCAATTGTATCAAAATGTTCAGAACGCAAAAGAATTATTTATGCTCAATATCAATATATTGCCACACGGAATAATATCCCAGTGGGTAACTAAGAAAGTCAGAGAATTTATTTCCAGAATTTATTTTATCACTCAGTCTTCTTGATAAAAGTTATTCTGTACAAAGATGAGATCCATTAACGACAACCATAAAATATATGAAACTAAACTCTAAACTCTAAGGTAGCAATCACTACATGCATACTAAGACCTATTACATCCGCTATGCTTTCCACTTTCCAATTTCGATTTCATCGGTTAAAATACGTACATTAATCTTTTAAAAATGTATAAAGTTAATGTTAGTCACTTTATGTGTTAAGGGTTTCTTCTTTCTTTATGCATAAGTCGTTTAGTCAATAAAGAAAATGCATTTGCATAAACACCAACAGCTCCAGTTTATGGAGAATATGTGTACATCCATAAATATTCTTATCGCGTAATCGATTTTTTCCCTTCCCTTCGTTTAACGTTTTTGTTCATCAACGTTTCAGGAGCACAAGGTAATTCGATTCCGGAAGTCGTCACCAGACGATGTTCCACCAGATGGCGGCAAACAACGGGCTGAACGAGAAGTGGAATTCGTGAGAAGCGTTGCTTCCTGCTTTTTGGGCCGGTACACGCAGATCCCTGAGATTCTTCGGTGCGACGCAAAAGACATTGCCAGACTTTCGGAAGCCATTCAAACGCACCGCCCAGGTAAAGACCGACCCCACCAACAAAATTCTCACACAGAACCACATAAAAACCTTGCGTTTCTTTTCCGAAGGTTTCCTCTTTGTCTGCGCAATTTTAACACGTGGTTTGCGATTAGTCATATTTAACAGTTAACATTTCTTTCTATTCCAATAGTTAACGTTAAACTTATCATGCCGGTCATTTTGACCGATTTCACATTATTTCAATACTTTAAGATTGTTGACATTATAAAATATCTTCTGTAGGAAATTATTGAACTTTCTTAATTCAAGCATAAATTATGATAACAACAATGGTGAAATGTCTAAATAAATTTAGTCTTGTTGTTCTTATAGAACAATAAATGATAGGTCACTTTTAATGCTCGGTAAGTTCGATATTAAAGTCGCATGGACATTTAAGATTTTAGATCATTAGCGACACGTTCCGTTGGTAGATCGTAGATGAAACGATTTGTAGAGAAATTGCGGAGATTCTCAACGTTCTTTGTTTAACGGAAAAATACTTTTAGTGATTTGAGAAGCTTGCAATTACTTTGCAGAAATATATATATAATATATATAATAATATAATATATATATATATATATATATATAGTTAATAAAATATATATATAGTTTTTCTGCAAAGTAAC